ATTAAAGCTTTTGGTAAAACTCATTATGGAAAGTGATCCAGATCCCAAGTCATTTAAAGAGAAGAGCTTTACTTATTCTTTCTAGTCTTGCTTAAAGTGGCAACATATTTTGATTTTAATATTCTTTCATACAACAAAGATGTGTTTACCTACTCTGTATCAGATTTTGTACCCTGGCAATAGAGCAGGGAACAAAACAAATTCCTGTCCCTACGGAGAAGGACATCTACATTGATCTCTCTTTTTTTAGTTGGGGTATAGTTGTTTTACAATGTTGTGTTAGTTTCTACTGTACAGCGAAGTGAAGTAGTGTTCCCTGTGCTATACAGCAGGTTGACACTTTCACAGCACAAAGCACTTACTAACTTGGCACACTTGTGGGATTCCTCAGCGTGGACACTGCAGAGACTACTTTGAGATGCATCAGAGGAAACTCTTAACGTATGTCTGGGGTGCTGCAAGTCCCAGGGGAGCTCGCTCTATCATTTCCAAAGTGAGACTATGACACTGGGTTTCTCCAGGTTTCATTCCCGAAGAGACAGAAATGGTCACCATCACCAAAACACAGTATAACTGCAACCACAGAACATTTAATTTTGACAAGACAATGAGTAAGCAACAGGGTCCCAAGCCTTCCCCATGGCTAGTTCCCCTGAATCCACATTTTATAAATTTATAGATGCCTCCTGGGGATTTATTTCAGGAACTCCCCATCTGTGTCATTGTTACACTTTCTCCAGCTGTTACGGGGGTAGAGAGCCTCGAACACATATTTTTTCCACAGTTCACTACAGCTCATGGAAACGTTTCCTTAATGTAAGACTAGGAGGGCCAGATCTTTAGAATGGAAAGGGTGGACTTCCCTGGTGGTACAGTGGTTAAGAATCCACCTGCCAATGCAGGGCACATGGGTTCGAGCCCTGGTCCGGGAAGATCCCACATGCCATGAGGCAACTAAGCCCATGCACCACAACTACTGAGCTTGCGCTCTAGAGCCTGTGAACCACAACTACTGAGCCCGCGTGCTACAACTACTGGAGCCTGTACCCCTAAAGCCCACGCTCCGCAACAAGAGAAGCCAATGCAATGAGAAGCCTGCGCACCGCAAAGAACAGTAGCCCCTGCTCGCTGCAACCAGAAAAAAGCCCACGTGCAGCAACGAAGACCCAATGCAGCCAAAAATAAAATAAATAAAATAAAATAAGTAAATTAAAAAAAAAAAAGGGAAAGAGTAATCTGTTAGATGATGCATTTTGCCCCATACAGCAGGTGGGAGTGGCTAATATGATTCCTAAACAAAATTCTATGCCAGGCATCTGTTAATATGCAGCTGGGGACCAGACTGCCACATTCTCCCGGAATTCCTAGATTCAATACAGCCTCCCCCATTCATTCCTGCTTAAAAAACAAGATTTTTTTCTCCTGCTTATTAAGGAGGAAACATCAGAGTTTGCTTGTAAATAGTGATTCAAATCAGAGTTCAAACTTGACAAATGCAACTTTACAATCTAAGCTGCAGGTTAGGATATGGTTTCTCTTTAGGGGTTGACAGGCACCTTCCTCCTCATTTCCAGCACCGTACCAGAAAAAGAACAGTGAACAGTGAATCCCAGTAATTTAAACAGATCCTGGCTTAGCCCCAGAAAAGAAAAAAGTAAAAATAAAACAGAATATTATAGGTAAGGTTCTTCCTCCGTGTGTGTGTGTGTGTGTGTGTGATTTTTCAGAATCTTGGGTTTCTCTAACCAGATATTTTAAAAGAACTGGTTCATATATTTTCATTTAAGTGTATATGATGCTTCTCAGTGAAATGAGAAAGGCAGTTTTCCATCTGGTTCTGGGATTTTTAGATCTTTTACCTGCTCCTTTTAAAGAAGGTAATAACAACAGCTGACTTATGTTGAGTGCTTACTATACACCAAGCGCTGCTGGAATAAGCACATTGTAGCTTTTAGTTCTCATAGCGCCCCCATGTGGCAGATACTTCACATCTTGTGTGCCTCCAGTATGTGCTTAGTGGAATGACGGCACTCAAGTCTACTGACTGTGGAAAGCTTATAGAGGTTTAATATTAAAGAGGACTAGAGGAGTCCCAACAGTCATGCAGCAACACTTTCCATTTCCCCACTCGTTGCTTCTCCACCTCCAGAGATTCGATGATTATCTCAGAGGCAGGATGGTTTGAATGTTCAGACATCTATAACTGGACTTTCATTTTCTTCCTGCTTCTGGTCTAAGTTACTGGTTCTGAAACATTTGTGTGTATAAGAACTGCTGTATATGGGCTTCCTTGGCGGCGCAGTGGTTGAGAGTCCGCCTGCCAATGCAGTGAACACGGGTTCGCGCCCCGGTCCGGGAGGATCCCACATGCTGCGGAGCTGCTGGGCCCATGAGCCGTGGCTGCTGAGCCTGCGTGTCCGGAGCCTGTGCTCCACAACGGGAGAGGCCACAACAGTGAGAGGCCCGCGTACCGCAAAAAAAAAAAAAAAAAAAAGAACTGCTGTACAGAGTTGTATGAAACCATGTGTACAACAATTAGGAGCAAATTGGAAGACGTTTGGGGTAACTTTGACTATATCTGATTTTTGCCTAATATGCTGGCTTTTATGCTGAATTCTTAGCAGGGAAATAACACAGGACTGGGAGATTCAGGCTAGGAGAGAAAATAAGACTCGAGAGAAGAAAGCCAAGGAGACTTCCAGGTAGGGTGAAGGATGTGCCTCTCTGCATACCAGACAATCTGAGGCTGAGGGAGGTGGGAGAGGGGCGAGGCCAGGAGGAATGAATGCCAGGTACTATGATAAAACTGCCTTATCTATGTTCTCTCACTTAGTTTTTATTTTTATTTTTTGCTTACATATATTTTATTTTTAATTTTATTGAAGTATAGTTGATTTACAATGTTGTGTTAGTTTCAGGTGTACAGCAAAGTGATTCAGTTATACATATACATATATTCATTCTTTTTCAGATTCTTTTCCCATATAAGTTATTACAGAATATTGAGTAAAATTCCCTGTGCTATACAGTACTTCCTTGTTGGTTACCTATTTTATATATAGTAGTGTGTGTATGTTAATCCCAAACTCATAATTTATTCCTATCCACCCCTCCCCCACCAACATTTCCCCTTTGGTAACCATAAGTTTGTTTTTGAAATCTGTGAGTCTGTTTCTGTTTTGTAAATAAGTTCATTTATATCATTTTTAAAATTAGATTCCACATATGAGTGATATCATATGATATTTGTCTTTCTCTGACTTACTTTACGTAGTATGGTAATCTTGAGGTCCATCCATGTTGCTGCAAACGGCATTATTTCATTCTTTTTTATGGCTGAGTAATATTCGATTTTATGTATGTACCACATTTTCTTTATTCATTCCTTGTCAATGAACATTTAAGTTGCTTCCCACTTAGTTATTACAGCGACCCTTCAGATATGGAAACTAAGGTTCCAAGTGTCAAGTGACTTGCTTGGTGTCACAAAGATGGCGGACGATATAGCCTATATCCAAAGCCAGGTCTTTCTCACATTAAACTCAAGCTCTTTCCACCATAGGTGGCTTCCTTGTGTAATAGGACTCCCTGAAGTCAGCCAGAAAGAACTCTGGGGAAAATGGAGATGTGCAAAGTTGGTTTGGGGTGGCCTAAAACTTGGGACAGGATAGTTGTGAGGCCGTGTAGGGAAACACCTTCCTCATTCATGGAGAACAGAAGGGCTGACCTGTACAGATGGTTTAGGAAGCTAAGCAGAATTTTACAAAAATAGCTGTATTCATGCCTATTTGTGATTTCTTTCCTTCTGTGTAAGAGACATCCAGAGACTGGGTAGCCATTTACACACTAAGTGTGTAATAGGTAGGGGTGTCCTTCAGGTGCTCACCTTTCTGGCCTCCTGGGAATATCATTTGAATGTCCCAGTAAAAGACATTGTAAGCCCAGAAACTTAATTAGGCTGAAAACTGTAATCATTTGAGGAAAATCCATACCCCCAACTTTGAGGCCCCAGCAGCAGCTTTAGGAGAAATAATCACTGGCTACCACAACAACAGTGACATGCTCATTGGCAGCAGCAGAGGGACAACAGTGGAGACACTACAAGAGTCACTAAGGAAGTTTGTGAGCCCTCCATACACACATAAAGAGGAAGGGGTTTCAGTGGCTTTGAAGTCTCAGGAACACTACTAGTTAAGGGAATAAAGCAAATTTCACTGTGATAGAGCAAAAGCTGTCCAAGTAGTACAGATGGATATTAGAATAATAAGAACTACTTTAGATCCATATCTAACACCATAAACTGGATAGTTTTACATAGTTAAATGGTTTATCAAAAAAAATAAATTTGTATTTACTACTCACTGTATATACAGAGAAATTCTAAATACTTAAGTATCAGATTGCATCAAAGACAAAAATAAGTGAATTTGAAAATATACATTTGAAAAATCTTATAAGTCAAGCTACTGAATAAGAAATGTATGAGAAACATCACTGGATTATGTGATGTGACTGTGATGTGATATGGAATTTATATCAATATGTAAGATCATTTTCTAGGATCAAATAGGGAATGAAGAAAGCGTTACAAAGGAGGAAAAACAAATTAATGCATAGAAAAGCCTAAAGCCTCATGGAACTGAATACCCCCACACACAAATTAATAGAAGTGAAACATGGGACCTCTCTGCATTATTTCTTATAACTGCATATAAAACTACAATTATTTCAATAAATTTTTCAATTTAAAAAAGTCTATAGCGTCAATAGTAATTAAAGAAAGGTAAATCGGAACAAAGTTAAAATAAGACTATTTGACGTGAAGAGATATTTCACCGAAGAGGGTCTGTGGGTGAGAATTAGGTACATGAATATGTGCTCGAGGTCCACTCCTGCGGCCGGCACAGCGCGGGCGGCTCCCGCGGCCGGCGTTCGCGCCTCCTAGCCGCAGGGGGCGCTGTGGGGGCTGAGCGGCCGCCTGTCCCAGCGTGCACCGCGCCCGGGCCGGGCCGGCTGGTCTGGGCGGAGCGCGGGACCGCCGTAGGGGAGGTGCCGCGGCGTCGCCTGGATTCCCGGGTGGCTGGGGGGCCGGGGTCGGGCGGGACCGCGAGGGGACATGGCCGAGCCGGCTCCGGTAAGAGGGGCCGTGGACGATGCGGGCCCCGTCGCGATCTGGAGTGGGCTCCCGGTTCAGAGAGTGAGGCGGTGGGAGCCCCGGCCGGGGATTGTCTGTAAGCAGGACTGCGCTCCGACCCCGGGCCGGAGAAGGCGCGGTCTAGGTGCTCAAGTTGTTGTGAGGTTGATCTGGGAGAAAGGGGTCCCGTGGAGAAACCCAGGGTCTCGCTTGTGGTCCGTTCAGTTCCCCTGCTGTTCCCGTCCTGTGCGGGCGTCTCTGAACGTCCCGGTTTTTCTTGGGCTCACGTTCCGAGCTCTGCTGACATGGAGTTTCAGAGAAGCACATCTTCATCAGCAAATGAGGAAAAGTTGGAAGAAGACTGGAGACTGCTCCCTCTAGGAAAAGACGGAAAACTTAACCAGTTTGGGTGGTTATCCTAATTCAGATTTACCACGAATACTCTAGTGATTTAATGGAAAATTTGAACACTGGTTTTAGAGTTTGAAAGACATATCCCAAGCCTAATCCAGGAAACTCTACATTCAATTAAGTATAACTTGCCTAAGTATGCAAGTTCTCCTTGTATCTCCACTGAGATTTCCTATCTAATCTCACTAATGTAGTGCATTTTCTTTCCTTCTGCTCTCACCCCTCTCCCGCAGCATTCCTTGGCAGGTACCAATTCTGTTCAGATTTCTTCAGGCCGCCTCTCTTCAACGTCCTGGAATATCTCTCTCTGTTCTGTGAAACTTGGTGGTTTGTAATAGTTCTTCTTTGACTATAAGTTTGACTCCACAGAGAAAGCTCAAGTGATGTCAGCTTCTTGGCTGTTGTGTTATTGGGGGTAGGCAGGGAGAAATCAGCATTTTTCTGGTTGATTTTCCTTTTCACTGGAGCAGTTCAGTGCTAATTGTGAGAATGCTCACAGAAAAGTCTTTTGTAGGTGGAAAGCACGTGGGTGAGTTGCAAATAAACAGTAGAGGAATTTCTTTGAAAGTCCCACCTTAAATGCAACACCAAGTTTTAACTGGTTTGTTATACTAGCTGATACTTCAGCTTTGGGCGCCTGTAATAGTTTTGATGATGGAATTTTATCTCTGCAACTTTTCTCTTCAGAAAGTGTCAAGTGGCCCTGGTTGTGGAGTTTCCTAGATTCCTTCATTGGGAGAGTTTACTTTGTAGCATTTGGGACCAACATTTTTCATATACTTGCGAAGAGGCCGAGCTGTCTTGTGAGTTGCCCAGCACTTGCCTTGGTAGGTTCTCATCTACATTTGTAGCACAGAATTTGAAAGGAGTGAAATGGAATCTTCACAAGCTAAATTATATATCTTCTCTTCCTTCCCTATTGTCACAGTGCATCTGTCCTTCGAACCTCCAGGAAGAGCGGTCCTGGTTAGTCAGTCCATACCAGAGGTTGTAGATTAAACGTCCATGAACAAATTGTGGCTCGCAGCTGTGTGTTTTGGGTGTTTGTTTGTTTGTTTTTAACTATGCCTTGTTAAAATTGTGAATTTTAGTTGCCAAAATGTAAAAATCAGGAGAGTTCACATAAAACTGTCACATCCAGGGACTTCCCTGGTGGCAGTGGTTAAGACTCCACACTCCCAATGCAGGGGGCCCGGGTTCGATCCCTGGTCAGGGAACTAGATCCCACATGCATGCCACAACTAAGAGTTTGCATGCCACAACAAAGGAGCCCACGTGCCGCAACTAAGGAGCCCTCAAGCCACAACGAAGGAGACTTTGAGCCGCATCTAAAGGAGGCTGTTTGCCACAACTAAGATGCAGCACAACCAAAATAAATAAATAAATAAATAAATATATATATATATATATATATATATATATATATATACATATATATGGACTGTCACATCCAAATGTAAAATGTTAAGGTCTAAGATGACATTGGAGAAAAACTTTGGGACCTAGGGCTTGGTGAAAAGTTCATAGATGTGGCACCAAAAGCACAATCTATAAAAGAAAAAAATGATGAGTTGGATGTCATCAAGATTAAAAACTTTTGCTCTGGGAAAAATTCTGTTAAGAGGGTGAAAAGACAAGCTACGGATGGAGAAGGGCATATTTGCAAACCACATATCTGACAAAGGACTTATATCTAGAATATATAAAGAACTCTCAAAATTCAACAACAACAAAAAAAACAGCCCAATTAGAAAATGGGCAAAAGACATGAAGAGACAGTTCACCAAAGAGGATATGTTGATGAGAAATAAGCACATGAAAATATGCTCATCATCATTATTCATTAGAGAAGTGCGAACTCGGATCCCAATGACATCACTGCACAACTATTAGAATGATGAAAATAAAAAATAGCAACATTGGGAACTCCCTGGCGGTCCAGTGGCTAAGACTCCACCCTTCCAAGGCAGGGGGTGTGGGTTCGATCCCTGGTCAGGGAACTAAGACCCCACATGCTGCGCAGTGCAGCCAAAAAAAAAAAAAAAAAAAGCAAAAGCAACATTACCAAATGCTGGTGAGGATGCTGAGAAATGATCTCTCGTGCATTGCTGGTAGGAATGTGAAAGCGTTCAGCCACTCCGGAAAATAATTTCTTAGAAAACAACATATACTTCCCATATGACCCTGCAGTTGTAGACCTCGGCATTTATCCCAGAAAAATGAAATGTATCCCCACCAAAAACTTGTACATGATTATTTATAGCAGATTTTTGGTAATAGCCCCAAACTAGAAACAACTACATTGTCCCTCAATAGGTAAGTGGTTAACCAAACTGTGGTATACCCATGCCATTGACTACTGCTCAGCAATAGAAAGAAATGAAATATTGATAAACAATAAACACAACTTGGATGGATCTCAAGAGCATTATGATGGCTGAAAAACGTCAATTTCAAAAAGTTGCATACTATGACTTTTTTTTTTTTTTGGCCACGTTACATGGCATGCAGTATCCCAGTTCCCTGACCAGGAATTGAACCCGTGCCCCCTGCAGTGGATGCACGGAGTCCTAACCACTGGACTGCCAGTGAATTCTCTGACTTCATTTTTGTAACAGTCTTGAAATGACAAAGTTACAGAGACGGATAATAGATTAGTGGGTGTGATTAGGAAGGGGTAGCCCAAAGGAGATCTCTGGTCATGGAATAGTTTTGTTCATGATTGCAGGGTAGTTATATGAGTCAGCACGTGATGAAATCACGTAGAATTATACACACACTACCAATGTCAGTTTCATGGTTTTGACAGTGTAATAATGTACCGTGTGACCATTGGGGTAAACTGAAAGGTACAGGGAACCCTTCTGTACTACCTTTGAATCTATAATCGTTTCAAAATTAAAAAGTTACTTTAAAATTTGACATATCTGGGGCTTCCCTGGTGGCGCAGTGGTTGGGAGTCCGCCTGCCGATGCAGGGGACGCGGGTTCGTGCCCCGGTCCGGGAAGATCCCACATGCCGCGGAGCGGCTGGTCCCGTGAGCCACGGCCGCTGAGCCTGCGCGTCCGGAGCCTGTGCTCCGCAACGGGAGAGGCCACAACAGTGAGAGGCCCGCGTACCGCATTGACATATCTGGCGACACTGGCCCAGTCTTACATTGCAGTAATTGTTTGCTGCTATGTGAAGTATCCTCCTTTAGACGGTACATGTGCTCAAAGGCCTGCTATTCATCCATTCACTTTACTTAGTTCCAACAGACCTCTGTGACCCCTTTATTATGTTCATGGCACCATCCAGCGATAACTACTTTAATACCGTTCCTTCCTGTCTCTTAAAGACACGGATGTTGAAAAACACAGTAGCCTTGAAATGAAAATATATGTATGTACTGTTTATGATTTCAGTTTCCCGTGGCATTTGATGATGTGGCCTTATACTTTCTGGAGCGAGAGTGGGAAATCCTGGAGAAGTGGCAGAAGGACATGTATCAGCAGGAAATGAAGAACAATTATGAGAGCCTTGATTCCCTGGGTAAGATGCGTTTCTAAGGAATCGCTTTTTGGGACCCAACCTGATACTAGTAGGCTTTCTTCCCTTTATTGGCTGTTGGCTGGTTGAATATGATACTGTGCCCAATCCACATTCAGAATGTCTCTTTAACTTCCTGTAATGGCCTGGGAATTTTGTCCCTTTTTATCCGGTGATAGCTGTGCTCCTCAGCCTTGTTAACACTCTGCATTCTCTATCTCCCACTCCAACCCTCCCCCTTTTCTCCCACAGTTAGAATTACAAAATAATCTAATTGCCTCTCTCTTTTTTAAGTGTGTTGTTTTATTTCTTTAACTGATACTTTAGTGCCTGCTTATGTTGCCTGAATGAGATGCATCCTTATAAGAACTAAGTCTCTCATGAAGGGGCCATAGTTATTATATTAGAAGAAGCTGAGGACCCAACACATTGCAGAACGTGGCTACGACAGGGAAGAAAGTTTCCCTGGTAAAGGGAGAGAGAAGAGAGCAGGGGGATGGGATACTTAGATATCTCCAGGGAAGTACTCACGAAGTGGATTGGAAGAGAAATTTGGGGAGATTGTACCTCACTGCTTACTCATCTTGCTCTAACTCAGTCTTGTGTCATAAAGAATAGTTCTCCTCTTATCAATTTAATAGGTGATCTCAGTATACCTGAAGAATTCTTTCTCTCTTTGGGGGTTTATAATTTATTCTGTCTGAGATATGAATGACAAGAGGGAGTCAACCATGTGAAATCATGGGGAAGAAAATTCTAAGCAGAGAAAGAACTAGTGCAAAGGCCCAAAGGTTGGAGTGAATGAGCTCAGTACACGGTGGGAACCACAGTGAGGCTATTGTGACATATGCACAGAGGGTTAGCACATGAGTGATGGGAGAAGAGGACAGAAAGGGCAGCTATGCCGAATTGTGAAGGGCCTCTAGGCTGAGGCGCAGGGTTGGATTTTATTCTAAAGATAAAGGGAAGATGATAGGGGGATTTTTTTTTTTCTGCCGCACCACACAGCTTGTGGGCTTTTAGTTCCCTCACCAGGGATTGAACCTGTGCCCTCGGCAGTGAAAGCACAGAGCCCTAACCACTGGGACACCAGGGAATTCCCATAGGGGGATTTAAATAGAGAAGTAATATGATATCTTTTTTTTTTAATGATTACTTGGGTTGCTATGTGGAAAATAAATTGTAGTGCATAGAAATAAAGGAGAGAGACCAACCAGGAGCCTTGGCAGTACTGGTGAATCTTTGTGGCAGCTGAACCAGGTATGTAGTAATGAAGATAGAGAGCAGGAGGCAGTCTCCAGATATGTTTTGGAGGTAGCATCCCAGATTTTGCCAGTGGCTTGCAGTGGAGTCCGGTGAAAGAAGAACCAACTTCTAGATTTTTGGCTTGAGTATCTTGATGGCAGTGTTTTTTTGTTTTGTTTTGTTTTAAAGAGCAACGCCTTTTGTTTTTTTTTAATTTATTTTATTTATTTATTTTTGGCTGCGTTGGGTCTTTGTTGCTGCGCACAGGCTTTCTCTAGTTGCGGCGAGTGGGGGCTACTCTTCGTTGCGGTGCGCAGGCTTCTCATTGCAGTGGCTACTCTTGTTGCAGAGCATGGTCTCTAGAGCGCAGGCTCGGTAGTTGTGGCGCACAGGCTCAGTTGCTCCGCAGCATGTGGGATCTTCCCGGACCAGGGCTTGAACCCATGTCCCTGGCATTAGCAAGCTGATTCCCAACCACTGTGCCACCGGGGAAGCCCCGATGGCAGTGGTTTTATTCACTGACATGAGGAAGGCTTGGGAGAGAGCAGGTTTTGGCCACATTAAGTTTGAGATGCTTATTAAACATTTATATGGAAATATAAAGTAGATAATTGAGTATGCGAGACTGGAATTCCAGTGAAATCAGGACTGGATTCACACATTTGGGGTCATTGTATAAATGACATTTAAACCACAGGGCCAGTTGGGATCATCTAGGGAGAATTTGTCAATAGGACAGGACACCCCCAGCTGTCCCCAGGATACCCCAACAGTTAGGGTCAAGCTAAGGAGACTGAGGCCAGTAGGGTAGGAGAAACTACAGCCCTGTGCTGATCCAGTGTTGAGTTTTGAGTTATCACAATCCTTGGGCTTGGAGAATCCAGTCTGATTTTCCCAGATTTCAAAAAGCAAACAGTATTATTTGCAAATGATTTTCTTTACAGGATGTCCAGATCCTAACTCCAGAGATTAGGATTTAGCAGGTCCAGGCTCAGGCCCAGGCATCTACGTTTTTAACAAGTACTTCAGGTGCTGCTAATGCTGGTGGTAACTAGGTCACTTTGAGAAACACTGATCCAAGGGCTGAGCCGTAGGTGACACCACTGCAGGGTATCTGATGCATCTTTAAAATCCCTCCACTACTTTGTAACAATGCCTCCTCCCTTCAGGCTGATGTCATTAGACACATTACTCTCCACTTCTTCATAATCACTGTCATTTAACAGCCTCCTGGTTCCTTCATTACGTTGATCAAGAAAGAATGTGGGCAGGACTTCCCTGGTGGCACAGTGGTAAAGAATCCTCCTTCCAATGCAGGGGGCCCGGGTTCGATCCCTGGTCAGGGAACTAGATCCCACATGCATGCTGCAATTAAGAGTTCGAATGCCACAACTAAAGAATTGGCAAGCCACAACTAAGGAGTCCACAAGCTGCAACTAAGGAGTCTGCCTGCTGCAACTAAGACGTGGCACAACCAAATAAATAAATAAAATATTAGAAAGAATGTGGGCACCTCAGTAATTGGTTCCTTTGATGTGCAGAGTCTAATCAGAAAAGTTTAGTCACCTGGGTTCCCTCCTTGACCACCGGCCCCCGTCCCCGACTGCTTTTTATTCTACTCACATTGTTCTCATAATGATCCCTTTTGAATACTTTCTGCCTGGATCCTCATCATCCCCAACCTCTCTGTTTCCTTTAATTTTGTGAAATATTGTCAGGAACATTTAACAGTTATTCATGTAATCAAGAGTTTCCATTTTTTTTTTAACCTAACATTGATCTCATGTCTCCAGGAATCAAGGTCAGCCATGAAACTAAAGTTAAAATTAAAAATTAAAAACTAAAATTGTTTTTAGTCAAGTACTCAGGAAACCCAGACTGAGTCTGTGTGGACTCTCTCTGCAGGCTGTATTTCTTCAAAGCCAGATTTGATCACCTGGATGGAACAAGGAAGAATGCTGTTAATCAGAGACCAAGGACACTTAGAGAAAACACAAATGACACTTAGCCTTTCTGGTGAGTAGATGGATTTGAGGGCCTGACTCATTTATTCTCCTAGCCTTGTTTGCTAATCTTTCTGCAGAGTCAGCAGGACGTAGTGAATAAGAAATATTATTTTGATGGAGAATGTTATTTTTTTTCACTCAAGTTGGTAGCAAATATAAGAATGTCTTACTTTTATAAAGAAGGAAGTTGTATATACTTCATTAAAAAAAAAAAACAAACAGAAAATGGAACTGCCTTTAAGAGAACAGTAAAGGATCCATTTGTCCAGTCCTGAGGAAAAACCATCTTCCCCATCACATCATCATGTCCATTTGTGTACAGAGAAATGAGAAGCCTTCCAATTTTGTACAGTATATTTTTTTATTGTACAGATTTTTAGAACTTGGGATTTTTTATTCCTTTTGAAGGACTACTTTTTAATTCCTTGTATCATAAGGAAAACATTTTAAATATATTAATACTTTAAGTATTTAAGAGAATGTGCCATTTTTTAGAGTATGTTGATGCTTTACTAAATGGAGATCTACTAAGTCTCTGGGTATCAAGGACTCTCCTGAAAAAAGAGGGAATTTAAACCCAGGGAGTGTGACTAGCTCCATCGGAGGATAAAAGAATTCCCAGGGGCTTCATTTCACTGCTACCATCTATTCATTCATCTAATCAGTATTGTCCCTACCATGTTCATAGGACTATGTCACATATTATTTAGGCCAGGGGTTGGGAGATATATATATATATATATATGTATTTTCCCACTCTAAGAGTTTATTGTCTGTCTTACTGACCTACTGACATGGCAGTTAGGTTAGTCACTTATATTGAACTATTGGATTAGTCAACTATAAAATAAGACTGTATGCACTTATAAATAGTAAGTGGCAATGATAATAAAGCGCTATAGGGATTTAGAGGAGAAAGCAGAGGAGAGACAGCAATATCCCAGGAGGACTTCTAAAGGAATTAGGATTTAAATAGCATAGAATGGGCATATTTAGTAAGGCAAAGAAGATTCAACAGGGGTCATACATGATCTGAGGCTTAGAGGTGGGAACAAGCCTGTTATATTTAGAAAATGGAAGGCACTGAGTATAGCTGAATGTTATTTGTGGGACATAGTGGAAGATGGGGGGGTGGCAGTGGTGGCACATAATTGGTATCAGAGACCAAAAATGCCATGGTGGGAGTTTAATTTCATCCTTTAGAAAGGGCCTGGAAAGGTTTTTGAGTACCAAAGAATGAACGACGTTGGTAGCTGTCCCTAAAAACAAATGTTTCCTTTGTACCAGGTGGTACTCACCCAGTAACACAACTACTCCCCTGCCTGGGATAAACAGTAAGTGATGAGAAATAGGATTAAAGGAGACAGGCAAGTATGCTCTTCTCATGGTCCAGGCAAAAGCTGTGGGTGCTAACTTAGTAAATGACGTCATCTAGTTGGAAACATCTGTGTTGTTGAGATGACCTCAGAGCAGAATCAGAGTCCTGCTCTGGGGCAAGCCTGATGGATGAGGTTTGCTCCCAGGTTAAGAGATTTAAAAAAGGAGAGCTATGTGACCCACTGCAATAGGATGAGGGAGAAAAAGATGTTCTGGAATATAGCAGCTCAGGTGATGGTCAGGAATTGTCCTCTCCAGGTGTGGTGGGTGAGAATAAGGTGGCAGCTCAGCTCCCTCTGTACCCTGTCATTATGGCTTTTACTTTGGGAACAGCAGTGACTTTCTTATAATTCGGAGTTCCTTGGGAAAGGGGATTATTTCCACAGTGTTCTTTGTGAATTCAGTAAATTGCCATTTGACACTCCTAAGAAAGATACTTCCTATTAGCATTTCTTCAGAAAACTTTTCCTGAAATCTGTGGTGGAAGGGTGCAAGAATATGACCCGAAGCCTTCCTACTTAAATATTGTGCTATTTATTTCACAGATTTAAAGAAATATTATAATGAAATGGTCAGATTCTCAGAGTAACTCATTTTTATTTTCTTCCAAGTTCTGCTTAGCCTCTGAGGGTCCTCATAGGCTCACAAAATGTATTTGCCTGCCATTTTTTTCACGCTAAGCCTTTTGTTAACAAATGATGAAAGGATCTGCACATCCAAGTTAAACTTCAATATAATTCACCTGTGGCAGGCAGATTCACAAAGTCATGAGGACAACGGGAGTCCCTTTCCCACGTTGTCAGTGATGTGAAGACAGTCCTTGACCCCGCAGACCCATCACTGATGAGGGTGGGCCTTTTTGTCTCTCCAGGTGACCAGGGAACTCTCGGGGCAAAAGAGGAGGAATGCCATTTAAATGGTCTCCAAGAGCAGGGCTTCTGTGCTCCCTTATCCAAGGAGGAAAGAAAGATTTTATCAGATCAAAGAGCCACCTTACAACACCCAAGTCTCCAAGAAACAGAGATTCTAAATAATAAAAGCCTCGACATCACAGCATCTAATCAGGACAAGAATGATCCACGGCATAAGCCAATGGGAACCCCAGATCACCTGGAAATTCCACCAGGTCTGAGACTTTATTCCTGCTTTGTCTGTAGGAAGGTCTTCCAGATAAAGAGAGACTTTGTGAAGCACAAAAGGAACCACCGCGAGAGCCAGTCCCGTCAATACCCGAAGCACAAAATCAAGTCCAGGGGGAAGGCGGAGCTCAGGTGGCTCCGGGCGGTCCCGTGTAAGCAGCCTTTCTGGCGCGGCGCGTGCGAGCAGAGCAGCTGTCTCAGGTGCAGCCTGGCCCTGCACCAGGTGGCTCTCCCGGCCCCGTGGCCCTTCCAGTGCCCCGAGTGTGGCAGGGCCTTCCGGTCCAAAGCCGCCCTGAACAAGCATGTGTGTTCGCCCAGAGGGGAGAGGCCGTTTTCCTGCCAGGAGTGTGGCCGGGGGTTCACCCAGCAGGACGAGCCGGCCGAGCACCTGCGGGTGCACAGCGGGAGGACACCCTTCCAGGGTCCGCAGGGCGGCAGAGGCCCCTCGCGGGAGGCGGCCGCGAGGGCCCACCGGCGGGCACACCGCGGGGAGAAGCCATTCTCCTGTGACGACTGTGACCGGAAGTTCACCCACCGGAGCAAGCTCACCGAACACGTCCGAGTTCACACGGGGGAGAAGCCCTTCCGATGTCCGGAGTGCCAGAGAAGCTTCCGCCTGAAGAGCGGCCTGCGGGCCCATCTCTGTCGGCACAGCGGGAGGAAGCCCTTCCGGTGCCCAGAGTGCGGCCGGACCTTCTGCTGGAGGAACGCCATGAAGGCGCACCAGCGTCTGCACAGCCAGGAGAAGCCCTTCTCCTGCGGGCAGTGCGGCCAGGGGTTCACCCGGCCCTCGAAGCTTGCGCGCCACCGCCGCGTCCACGCCAGGCAGACGGCGTTCCCCTGCGAGCGGTGCGGGAGGACCTTCCCGCGGCGCTCGGGGCTCACGCGGCACCTGCAGGTCCACACTGAGGAGAAGCCCTTCTCCTGCGCGCAGTGCGGCCGGGGATTCCACCGCCGCGCGCACCTCGCCGAACATCGGCGACTCCACGGCGGGGCCGAGCCCTTCCGGTGCCCCGAGTGCAGCCGGAGCTTCTCCTGGAAGGCCTCCCTGAATCTGCACCGGCGGCAGCACGCGGGCGAGCGGCCTTTCCCGTGCGGCGAGTGCGGCAAGGCCTACGCTCAGCCGTCCCAGCTCGCCGAGCACGCGAGGGTCCACAGCGGGGAGAAGCCCTTCCGGTGCCCCGAGTGCGACAGGGGCTTCCGGCTCAGAGGGAACCTGAAGAGCCACCTGCTCCAGCACAGCGGCCAGAAGCCCTTCTCCTGTGCGACGTGTGGCTGAAGCTTCGCTCAGCGGTACAGGCTCACGGAGCACGTACGCGTCCACAGCGGTGAGAAGCCCTTCCGGTGCCCCGAGTGCGGCAAGAGCTACTGCCTCCGGGGAAGTTTGAAGGCGCACCTGCACACGCACAGCGGCGAGAAGCCCTTCGGGTGTCCCGAGTGCGGCAAGAGCTTCCTCCAGAAGAGAAGTCTGGAGACCCATCTGCACCGTCACCGCGGGGAGAGGCCTTTTTCTTGTGCTGAATGTGGAAGGGGCTTCACCTACCTGGGGGCACTCAACACCCACATTGCCATGCACGCCAGGGAGCAGCCCTTCAGTCCCGAGGTCACTCCACTCAGAAAGCAGTGACAGCTCTGCGGTGGGGCCATAGGCTCTGTTGGCGCTGGCTGAGGCAGGACGAAAAATTCAGCCAACATGCTTCAGCCACACTGGCCAGCATGGAGCAGGCGGCCGTGAGGGCTCCTTGACGAAGGTTCCAGATAATCCAGGCACAGCGTCTAGAGACTGGAGGAAAGCAAGCTTTTTGTGGAAGGCGCTGGTCATCCTGATGTGAGAGTCAGGTTAGAGCTCCTCCTTTAGCCTTTTCCCCCTCTTTTTTGTAATAAAGTTTCTTGTGACAAAAGTTCCTTACATTATGGGTGTTTTAGTCTGCTGGGGCTGCCATAGGAAAATGCCACAGACTGGGTGGCTTGAACCACAGAAATTTATTTTCTTACAGTTCTAGAGGCTGGAAGTCCAAGATCAAGGTGCCAGCAAGGTTGGTGTCTGGTGAGGGCCTCTTTTCCTGGCTTGCAGATGTCACTTTCCCCCTGTGTCCTCACGTGGCTTTTTTCTGGGTAGGGGTGGGGTATCTCTGGTAGTTCTTCCTTTAATACGGACACCAGTCCTATTGGATTAGTACCCCAACCCTGTGACCTCATTTAACCGTAATGAATTAATTTTGGAGAACCTGCTGGTATAGCCCTAGGCCTGAACAAAGTGAATGAGGAGGCAGAGACTAGGAATGATGTGCTGGTGGAGCCTCCTCTAAATGGAAAGAAATGCCAAGATTGGGGAAGAAGCATGCCCCCCACCAAATCCACAGCCAGCTGTTCTGTCCATTTGCCTGTCTGGCTCTCCTGAGCCACACCTTGTGCAGCAATTTCCTCTGTTCTCTGTGAGGTGATGATGACTTTTAAATCTATAAATCCATGTTCATATTTCCAGATTCCTCCCGATTGTTTCTGACTTCCACAGACATCTCAAACACAGATTGCCCAGAATAAGACTCCTGATCAGTACCAGCCCTCACTCTATACCTCTTTTCTTTACACTCCCATTTTTCTCACCTCAAAATTATAACTAATCTCCAGAGCTGTAAACTTGATAATGATCCTAGATTTTTCTACACCCAGTCTACTAAATTTCTCCCAAATAAAAGCCCTTCTCTATCTCTGCTGACACCATATAAGCTCACTTTTGAAAAACTTTTTTTTTTTTTGCGGTACGCGGGCCTCTCACTGCTGTGGCCTCCCCCGCTGCGGAGCACAGGCTCCGGACGCGCAGGCTCAGCGGCCATGGCTCACGGGCCCAGCCACTCCGTGGCATGTGGGATCTTCCCAGACCGGGGCACGAACCCGTGTCCCCTGCATCGGCAGGTGGACTCTCAACCACTGCGCCACTAGGGAAGCCCAAAAAACTTTTTTTTCAAGTGTTTTTCCTAACAGATTTCCCTGCCTCTGGCTTTTTCCAGTAATACATTATCACTCTTCTGACAAATTGGTTTTTCTAAAATGCAACTCTAATGTTATTCTCAAAAGATATTTTTAAGAAGTTTCCAATTTTGTTATAAGTGAAAACTCATTTCTCCAAAGAAGACATGAGGATGGCACATGAAAAGATGCTCAACATTGCTAATCATTAGAGAAATGCACATCAAAACTACAGTGAGGTACCACCTCACACCAGTCAGAATGGCCATGATTAAAAAGTCTGTGAATAAATGCTGGAGAGGGTGTGGAGAAAAAGAAACCCACCTACACTGTTGGTGGGAATGTAAATTGGTGCAGCCACTACGGAGAACAGTATGGAAGTTCCTTAAAGAACTAAAAAGAGTTATGTGATCCAGCGATCCCACTCCTGGGCATATATCCAGAAAGATCTCATTTGAAAAGATACATGCACTCCAGTTTTATAGCAACACTACTTACAATAGCCAAGACATGGAAGCCACCTAAGTGTACATCGACAGATGAATGGATAAAGAAGATGTGGTATATATACACAATGGACTATTACTCAGCCATGAAAAAGAATGAAGTAATGCCATTTGCAGCAACATTGATGGACCTAGAGATTTATCATATGAAGTAAGTCAGACAGAGAAAGACAACATACGATATTGCTTACATGTGGAATCTAAAAAATGATACAAGTGAACTTATTTAAAAAACAGAAGTAGACTCACAGACATAGAAAACAAATTTAAAAAACAGAAATAGACTCACGGACATAGAAAACAAACTTATGCTTACCAAAGCGGGAGGATACATTAGGAGTTTGGGATTAAAATATAAAATAGATAGCCAACAAGGACCTACTGTATAGCACAGGGATCCAGCGATCCCACTCCTGGGCATATATCCAGAAAGATCTCATTTGAAAAGATACATGCACTCCAGTTTTATAGCAACACTACTTACAATAGCCAAGACATGGAAGCCACCTAAGTGTACATCGACAGATGAATGGATAAAGAAGATGTGGTATATATACACAATGGACTATTACTCAGCCATGAAAAAGAATGAAGTAATGCCATTTGCAGCAACATTGATGGACCTAGAGATTTATCATATGAAGTAAGTCAGACAGAGAAAGACAACATACGATATTGCTTACATGTGGAATCTAAAAAATGATACAAGTGAACTTATTTAAAAAACAGAAGTAGACTCACAGACATAGAAAACAAATTTAAAAAACAGAAATAGACTCACGGACATAGAAAACAAACTTATGCTTACCAAAGCGGGAGGATACATTAGGAGTTTGGGATTAAAATATAAAATAGATAGCCAACAAGGACCTACTGTATAGCACAGGGAAGTATGTTAAGTATGTTTTAATAACCTATAATGGAAAAGAATATTATATATTTATATTCAGATATATATATATCTGAATCACTTTGCTGTACACCTGAAACTAACACAACATTGTAAATCAACTGTATTTCAATAAAATTTTTTAAAAATTAAAAATAAATTAGGGACTTCTGGTGGTTGGGACTCTGCGCTTCCACTGTGGGGGCGGGACATGGGTTCCATCCCTGTTCAGGGAACTTGGATCTCACGTGCCTGGCAGTGCAGCCAAAAAATAAATAAAAATTTTAAAATAAATGCAAACTCATTAACATGACATAAAAGAACCTCTGAGCTGAACTGGACCTGCCTTTTCAGCCTAATCTTGTTACCTATTCACAGTATGAATTTCACTCCTACCAGATGACTTTCATCTTTCCCAAATGCATCATATCCTCATGACTGCTTCCTCTGGAATGCCTTTCCTGTCTCTTCTTCTGAACTCCTTCATATCCACCATTCACTCTCAACACCAGGAACATTTTGGGCACGTGCTCATCTCTTCATAGCATCCTCTAAATACCTCTCTCTAATAGCACTCCCCACATTCAACTGAAACCTTCCCTGCTTCTCCTGCCATGCCCCCTGGAGGGCATGGATTTGATCTTGGTTTTACATTTTCTCCATCCAAACCAAGACATTCTCTGGCTTAATGCGTGGATCTGTGATATACCCAACAACACCGTGGTGGAGAAGCACTGAACCGCTGACAGTACTTGATTGTGGATTTGAGGGTTCCAGGAGAGGCCACTGCAAAACAGCTGGACAGGAATAGTTAACTGCACACATCTCACACATACACGAACTGAGTCCCACAAGATATCCATCCTCTGGGTGATTGGACATTTAAATTATTTTCCTGTTTTTACTTTTAAAACGGTGCTGCTTTAGAGATTCTAGGATATGGCTCTTTGATATGCAAAAATAGCTCTGAGATAAGAATTGCTGGATAATAGGGTACGTGCATCTTCATAAACAGATATTGCATTTGCCTGACTAACAATGAGATGGAACATTGTCGTGTGTTTATCGCCTATTCGGTTTTTCTTTTCCTTTCTGTGAATTCATAATTTTGCACATTTTCCTCTAGGGTAGTCTATGATTTTTAGCAGTTATTTATGTTTATTTATATGCTATTCAGTGTTGTAAATATTTTTTCTCAATCTGTGACCTAGTTTTGGTTACTCTATCATGTCTTTTGATCTCAAGTTTTAAATCTTGTTTTTAAATTGAAGTACAGTTGATTGACAATATTATATTAGTTTCAGGTGTACAACATAGTGATTCAATATTTTTATAGGTTATACTCCATTTAAAGTTATTACAAGTTAATGGCTATATTTCCCTGTGCTGTACAATAATGCTTGTTGCTTATTTATACATAGTAGTTTGTACCTCTTAATCCCATTCCCTTATCGTGCCCCTCCCCTCTCCCCTCTTCACACTGGTAACCACTAGTTTGTTCCCTATATCTGTGAGTCCATTTCTGTTTTGTTATATCATTCATTTATTTTACTTTTTAGATTCCACATATGAGTGATAATATAGAGAGTATTCGTCTTTCTCTGTTTGACTTATTTCACTAAGCATAATACCCGCTAGGTCCATCCACATTGCTGCAAATGGCAGATTTTCATTCTTTTTTATGGCTGAGTAACATTACAGTGTGTGTGTGGTGGGTGTGTGTGTGGGGGTGTGGGTGTGTATCACTTCTTCTTTATCCATTTTTCTGTTGATGGACACTTACACTGCTTCCGTATCTTAGCTATTGTAAATAGTGCTGCTGTGAACATTGGGGTTCATGTATCTTCTCCAATTAGTGTTTTCATTTTCTTCTGATATATACCCAATAGTGGAACTGCTGGATTATATGGTAGTTCTATTTTTAGTTTTTTTGAGGAATCTCCACACTGTTTTCCACAGTGGCTGCACCGATTTCCATTCCTACCAACAGCGTAAAAGGTTTTCCTTTTTTCCACATCCTCACCAACATTTGCTATTTGTAGACTTTTGGATGATGGCCATTCTGACAGGTGTGAGGTGATATCTCATTGTGGTTTTGATTTGCCTGTCTCTCATAATTAGCAATGTTGAGCATCTCCAGATCTTCTGTCCATTGATGCAAGTGGGGTGTTAAAATCCCTTACTATTATTGTATTACTGTCAATTTCTCCCTCTATGTCTGTTAATATTTGCTTTATATGTTTAGGTGCTCCTGTATTGGGTGCATATATGTTAACAAGTGTCATATCCTCTTCTTGTATTGATCCCTTTATCATTATATAATACCCTTCTTTGTCTTTTGTTACAGACTTGGTTTGAAAGTATATTTTTTCTGATATTGGTATTGCTACCCCTGCTTTCTTGTCATTTCCATTTGCTTGAAATATCTTTTTCCATCTCCTCACTTTCAGTCTGTGTTTCTTTAGCTTTGAGGTTAGTCTCTTGTAAGCAGCATATAGATGGGTCTTGTTATTTTTGTCCAATCAGCTACCCGATGTCTTTTGATTGGAGCATTTAGTCCATTGACATTTAAAGTAATTATTGATAAGTATGTACTTATTGCCATTTGTTACTTGTTTTACAGTTGCTTTTGTAGTTCTCTGTGCTTCCCTTCTCCCTTTAGTTTCTTCCCTTGTGGTTTGATGATTTTCTTTAGTGGCATGCTTGTGTCCCATTCTCTCTCCATTTTTGTGTAACTATTGTAGGTTTTTGATTTGTGGTTACACAGGAGTCATATATGTTTACCTATAATAATATCTATTTGTTTTAACCAGGTAGTCATTTAAGTTCAAACACATTCTAAAAGATCTCCACTTTTCCTCGCCTCCCCCACATCTTGTGTTTTTGATGTCATCTTCTACTACTTCATGTTTATCCCTTTACTGATTATTGTAGTTATAGTCAATTTTACAATTTTTTGTCTTTTAATCTTCATACTAGCTTAAGTGGTCGATCCTCAGCCTATACTATATATTTGTCTTTACTGGTGGGATTTTTCCTTTCCTCTAGATTATTGCTTCTTGTTATAGACTCTTCTTTTCCACTTAAAGAGGACCCTTTAACATTTCTTTTAGGGTAGGTTTAGTGCTGATGAACTCAGTTTTTGCTTGTCTGAGAAGTTCTTTAACTTTCTTTCAATTCTAAAGGATAATCTTGCTGGGTAGAGTATGCTAGGTTGCAGGGTTTTCCCTTTCAGCAAAGTTTTAAATTTTAATCTAATTTAATGTATTGGTCTATCCTTTGCACTTTGTACTTTTTGTATCTTAAGACTGTGTGTATAAAAATATTCAAGCAATATTATTTACGGCCACAAAATTTTTAAACTGCCACTAAATACTTCACACTACCCTACCTGTTATGGGCTTAATTGTGTTTCCAAAAATTCTTTAAAAAAATTATTTGACTGCACCAGGTCTTAGTTGCAGCACGCGGGATCTTTGCTTCAGCATGTGGGATCTTTTAGTTGTGGTATGAGGAATCTTTCTGGTTGTGGCACGTGGGATCTAGTTCCTTGACCAGGAATCAAGCCTGAGGCCCCCTGCATTGGGAGCGCAGTCTTAGCCACTGGACCACCAGGGAAGTCCCCTAAAATTCATTTGTTGAAGTCCTGACCCCCCAGTACCTCAGAATGTGACTATATTTAGAGATAGGGCCTTTAAAAAGGTAATTAAGGTAAAACAAGGTGTTATGGGTCAGCCCTAATCCAATGTGACAGGTGTCCTTATAAGAGGAGATTGGGACCGAGAACACCCAGACTGAGGGACAACCATGGGAGGACACAGGGAGAAGCGCAGCCATCTGCAAGCCGAGGAGAGAGTCCTCAGAGGAAACAAACACTGCTGACACCTTGATCTTGGAATTCTGGCCTCCAGAACTGTGAGAAAATTAATTTCTGTTGTTTAACCCGCGGTTAAACAGTCCATGGTACTTTGGTATGGCAGCCCTAGCAATAATACACTACCTTAAATTGCAGCCATTTAAAAGTATAATTATGAGATTATGAGAAATATGGAAAACCTTGGTATGGTAAGTGAAAGATAAAAAGGCAAAAAATTATATGTGTCTCAGAACCATATAAAAAGAACATGTCTGTGGACAGAGACTGGAAGTCTATATGAAGCAAAATCGAGCATTTACATTAGAATACCAGAATTATGGACAACTTTCACTTCTTTTAAAATTTGCTTTATTGTTGCTAAATTGTATATATACAGTATTGTTCCTTAAGAAAACCTTTAAGTTAGGGATAGCAATTACATATATCTAAGCAGTTCAACCTTACTGGCTGCTTAAGAGTGAAAGGCAGAGTAAATTTAAGATCCATTTCAGGGCTTCCCTGGTGGTGCAGTGGTTAAGAGTCCGCCTGCCGATGCAGGGGACACGGTTCGTGTCCCGGTCCGGGAGGATCCGACGTGCCGCGGAGCGGCTGGGCCCGTGAGCCATGGCCGCTGAGCCTGTGCGTCCAGAGCCTGTGCTCCGCGACGGGAGAGGCCACAACAGTGAGAGGCACGCGTACCGCAAAAAAAAAAAAATCCACTTCATATTTAGGTTATAGACCATTTCTTGAATTTTATAGACTATGAGTCGTGTTCCTAATGTAAGTCCATGGTGCCAGCGATGTCATGACTCTGCCTGACTTCCTGAGGATGAATACCCAGCCTCCTCACCCTTGGCAGGACCATTCTGAGGGATGATCTGCACCCTCTGAGTCCCCAGCAGAATGGACTCCCAGTTGCCGACTGGGGGACCTGCTCGTTAATGCTTAATGCCCCTTGATTTCTCACCTCCATGACTTGGTTCCTGAGATCACCTCACAGATGACCCCTTGAACCTAATCCTTGACTGGCGTTGGCTTTGGGGAGGAATCAAACCCCTGTACTCCCTCTCATTGTTTCTGTCTCAGTTAATAGCGAGTATACTATCCATCCATTTGCAGTTGACGCTGCATTTCCCCCTCTTTCCGTCTGCATCTCCGTCTCCCTCCTCTGGGTCCCCCAAGAGAGTGCGAGGATCGGTCACCCCCGGACGGCTGCGGCTTGCGACTGACACCGGTCTGCACGGCGCGGGCTGCCACTGCAGACAGCGCTCGCTCCTCCCGGCCGCAGGGGGGCGCTGTGGGGCAGAGCGGCCGCGAGTCCCAGCGTGCACCGCGCCTGGGCTGGGCCTGCAGGTCGGCGAGGAGCGGCGGGGTGGGAGGCCGCAGCCGCCGCTGCCGCAGGGAAGGTGCCGCGGGCAGCCGGGACTTCTGGCTTGGTTGTAACCCGGTCCGGGGCCAGGTGGGACCGCGAGGGCCCATGGCCGAGCCAGCTCCGGTAAGAGGGGCTCCCCGCGCGGACGCCTGGCTCGGGGATCTGGGCGGGTCCTCGGGTTCCGGCTCGGCGGGCCGGCATCCTGGGGTCCTCCCGGGGCGGAGGCGGACGGGTGGGGCGGGGTCTGAGGGTCGCGCTTAGCGCCTGCTGTGGGGTCTGGACCCTGGACTGAGCCGGTGACCGCCGCCTCCTGGGCTCGTCCGTGTCCAAAGCCCTAAACAAAGCCGATCGTGGAACTGGCGGAGTCTGGGCCGGGGGCGCCTGTGCGTGAGACGGGCGGATGAGAGAAAGGATCGAAGTTGGTCTGGGGCCGGCAATGCGTGTTAACCAGTTCAGCCAGTTTTACATTATAGTTACTGAATTTAGAACAAGTGTTTGAAAAGATTTAATATTCTGAATGGTTGAAATGATGGTTGGCAGGGACTTAAATGGCAGAATTTAACGCTAACGTGTTGAAGTTTGTGTTGAGTGTAAGAAGGAAGGAGGACACGTTGGAAGGAAGAAGATAATAAAAACCTAAGTAGGTACACATTATTTGATTATTTAGTGTTTTGTTGAAATTGAGGTTTTATGTTTTTCTCTATAAGCTTACATATTGAGCATTTTTTCAGATTACTAAATGAATTCATGAGATCATTACTTTTAAGATACCGTTAACAATCTCAACAAAAACCATAATTCCTAGGACTAAATATATAAAAGATATGTAACACCTTTTTTTTTTTTTTTTTTTTTTGGTACGCGGGCCTCTCACTGTTGTGGCCTCTCCCGTTGCGGAGCACAGGCTCCGGACGCGCAGGCTCAGCGGCCATAGCTCACGGGCCCAGCCGCTCCGCGGCATGTGGGATCTTCCCGGCCCGAGGCACGAACCCGTGTCCCCTGCATCGGCAGGCGGACTCTCAACCACTGCGCCACCAGGGAAGCCCCTGTAACACCTTTATAGCAAAAATTATTAATAACAGGCATACCTTGGGGATATTTTGGGTTTGGTTTCAGACTGCTGCAAAGCAAGTATCACAGTAAAGGAAGTCACGATATTTTTGGTTTCTCAGTGCATATAAAAGTTATGTTTATACTGTACTGTAGTGTGTTAAGTGTGCAGTAGCATTAAGTCTTAAAAAACAATGTACAAACCTTAATTAAAAATACGCTGGCTAAAAATGCTAATCATTGTCTGAGCCTGGAGCAAGTTGTAATCTTTTTGCTTGGTGGAGGGTCTTGGCTCCTTGTTGATGGTTGCTGACTGATCAGCGTGGTGGTTACTGAAGGTTGGCATGTGGCAATTTCTTAAAATAAGACAACAGTGCAGTTTGCTGCATCAGGAGTCATTTTTCTGTAGCATGCAATGCTGTTTAATAGCATTTTACCCACAGTAGCACTTCTTTCAAATTTGGAGTCAGTCCTCTTGAGCCCTGCCACTGCTTTATCAACCAAGTTTATGTAATATTCTAAATCCTTTGTTGTCATTTCAACGATCTAAATGGCATCAGCAGGAATAGATTCCATCTGGATAAACCACTGTCTTTGCTCATCCATAAGAAGCGACTCCTCATCTGTTAAAGTTTTATCATGGGGTTACAGCAATTCAGTCACACCCTCAGCCTCCACTTCGAATTCTAGTTCTCTTGCTGTTTCCACCACATCTGCAGTTACTTCCTCCACTGAAGTCTTGAACCCCTCAAAGTCATCCATGAAGGTTGGAGTCAACTTCCAAACTCCTGTTAACGTTGATATTTCAGCTTCTTCCCATGAATCATGAATGTTCTTCGTGGCATCTAGAAGGATAAATCCTTTCCAAAAGATTTGCAATTTACTTTGCCCAGATCCATCAGAGGAATCACTATGTATAGCAACTATAGTCTTATGAAAGGTATTTCTTAAATAATAAGACTTAAAAGTCGAAATTACTCCTTGATCCATAGGCTGCAAAATGGATATTGTGTTAGCAGGCATGAAAACAACATAATCTTATATATCTCCTTCAGAACTCTTGGGTGACCAAGTGCATTGTCAATGAGCAGTAATATTTTGAAAGGAATCTTTTTTCCTGAGCAGTAGGTCTCAATAGTGGGCTTAAAATATTTGGTAAATCATGTTGTAAACAGCTGTGCTGTCACCCAGGCTTTGATGTTCCATTTCTAGAGCACAGGCAGAGTTGATTTAGCATAATTGTTAAGGGCCCTAGGATTTTTGGAATGGTAAATGAACAGGGGTTTCAACTTATAGTCACCAGCTGCATTTATCTCCCAACAGAGACTCAGCTTGTCCTTTGAAACTTTGAAGCCAGGCATTGATTTTCCTCTCTAGCTATGAAAGTCCTAGAAGATATCTTTCTCCAATATTAGGCTGTTTTGTCTATATTGAAAATCTGTTGTTTAGTATAGCCACCTTCATTAATTATCTTAGCTAGGTCTGGAGAACTTGCTGCAGCTTCTACACCATCACTTGCTGATGAACCTTGCACATTTATGTTTAGGAGACGGCTTCTTTCCTTCGACCTCAAACTGTGCTCTGCTGGCTTCACGCTTTTCTTCTGCAGCTTCCTCACACGTCTCAGGCTTCATAGCATTGAAAAGAGTTAGGACCTTGCTCTGCATTAGGCTTTGGCTTAAGGCGATGTTGTGGCTGGTTTAATCTTCTCTCTAGACCACTAAAACTTCCTTTGTATCAGCAGTAAGGCTGTTTTGCTTTCTTATCATTTGTGTGTTCACCGAGTAGCACTTTAATTTCCTTCAAGAACTTTTCCTTTGCATTCACAACTTGGCTAACTGACACAAGAGGCCTCGCTTTTCAGCCTGTCTCAGCTTTCCATGTGCCTTCCTCACTAAGCTTAATCATTTCTAGCTTTTGATTTAAAGTGAGAGATGTGTGACTCTTCCTTTCACTTGAACACTTAATAATGTAGGGTTATTAAGCGGCCTAATTTCAGTATTGTTCTATCTCAGGGAATAAAGAGGCCCGAGGAGAGGGAGAGAGATGGGCCAGTCCGTGGGGCAGTCAAAACACACACATTTTTTTTAATAACTTTTTTTTGGATAAATGTATTTATTTTTGGCTGTGTTGGGTCTTTGTTGCTGCGCGCGGGCTTTCTCTAGTTGCAGCGAACAGGGGCTACTCTTGGTTGCAGTGTGCGGGCTTCTCATTAAGGTGGCTTCTCTTGTTGCGGAGCACGGGCTCTAGGTGCGTGGACTTCAGTAGTTGCAGCACGCGGGCTCAGTAGTTGTGGCTCACGGGCTCTAGAGCACAGGCTCAGTAGTTGTGGCACACGGGCTTAGTTGCTCCACAGCATGTGGGATCTTCCCGGACCAGGGCTTGAACCCATGTCCCCTGCATTGGCAGGTGGACTCTTAACCACTGCGCCACCAGGGAAGTCCCAGAACACATACATGGATTGATTAAGTTTGCCATCTTATATGGGCACGGCTCATGGCACCCAAACACAATTAAAATGGTAACATCAGGGCTTCCCTGGTAGCGCAGTGGTTAAGAATCCGCATGCCAATGCAGGGGACATGGGTTTGAGCCCTGGTCTGGGAAGATACCACATGCCGTGGAGCAGCTAAGCCCGTGCGCCACAACTACTGATCCTGCGCTCTAGAGCCCGCGAGCCACAACCACTGAGCCCACGTGCCGCAGCTACTGAAGCCCGCACACCTAGAGCCCGTGCTCCGCAACAAGAGAAGCCACGGCAATGAGAAGCCTGTGCACTGCAACGAAGAGTAGCCCCCACTCGCCACAACTAGAGAAAGCCCGCGCACAGCAATGAAGACCCAACACAGTCAAAAAAAAAAAAAAAAAAAAGGTGACATCAAAGATCACTGATCACAAATCACCATAACAAATACAATAATAATGAAAAAGTTTGAAATATTGTGAGAATTACCAAAAAGTGACACACAGACATGAAGTGAGCAAATGCTGTTGGAAAAATGGCACCAATAGGCTTGTTCGACACAGGGTTGCCACAGACCTTCAGTTTGTAAAAAATGCAGTACCTGCATTTTTTACAAAGCACATAAGATGAGATATGCCTGTAAACAGGAGGTAAATCATGCCAGTAAATGGGAAGAGTAAATATAATAAAGATGATACTTTCCTTCCAAGTTAATATATAAATTTACTGCAACTTCATCAAAATGGCAGTAAGATTTTTGTAAATTATATAAGCGGATTCTAAATTTCGTTTGGAAAAATAAAGGTCAAAATATGATGCCGAAAAGAAGAATAACAGGGGGACTTGCCCTAGCAGATAATAAAATTTACAGTAAATCCATAGAATTAATACAGTACTGTTTTGTGCAGGGGTAGACACATGGAGCAGAAGAAACCCAAAGAGGACCCCAGAGCAGACTACTGAGTTGAATAGTGTCTCCCCCAATACATGTACTTCCCCGGACCTCAGATTGTGACCTAAATAGGAGTAGGGTTGCTGCAGATGAAATTCGTTAAGATGAGATCATACTGGAGTAGGACAGGTTCTTAATCCATCATGAGTGGTGTCTTTATAAGAAGAGGAGCAGAGTCACAGAGACCCAGACACACAGGGAGAAGGCCCTGTGACAGTGGAGGCAGAGATGGAACTATGCAGCTGCAAGCTGAGAAATGCCAAGTATCAACAACCACCACCAGAAGCAAAGGGAAAGGCATGGAACAGATTCTCCCCTAAAGGCGTCAGAGAGAGCATAGCTCTGCTGACACTTTGATTTCAGATTTCTAACTACCAGAACTATGAGAGAATAAATATTTATTGTTTTAAGCCACCAAGTTTGTGGTACTTTGTGACAGCAGCCCTAGGAATCTAATTCGGAGAACTTCAGAAGTGGTGTTGGGACAACTGACTTCTCCATTTGGAAAAAAACACTAAGGTAGATCATTGCTGTATACCGTAAAAAAATTACGTTCCAGATAAATTAAAAATCTAAACATGAAAAGTAAAACTTCAGTCTTTTGGAAGGAAATGTAGGATATCTTCATAATCTTAGTGTAGAAGAAAATTTCTTAAACCACAAAGGGCAAAATGAACTAAGAAAAGATTGATATATTGTATTACAATTGAAAATTTATATACAATATAAATATAAGACAGCTTAAGTAAAAGTAAAAGCTGAGAGATACACTAGGAGAAAGTATTTGTAAACTAATGTAGTCAACAGTTAATACACAAATTATATAAAGAAATCTTAGAAATGAAAGGATAAATAACCCAATAAAAATACAGGCAAAGGATATGAACAGGCAGTTCATAGAACTAAAAGCAAATGGTCAATGGATAAAAGAATGAATTAAAAATTGTGACATTCAGACAATGGAACACTATACAAAATTAAAATAAATCAGTTCTATGTATATCAAGATGGACAGATCTCAAAATGTTGCATGAAAAATGCAAGTTGCAGTATAATAAAGCATTTGTGTATAAAAGACAAAGCAATACTATATATTATTTATAGATACATATGTATATTAAAAAAATTAAGAACATGAGCTGAAAACTTACCACATGCATCAACATGGTTGTGTCTCAGAAGGGAGGTGAATAGGACCGAGTGTAAGAATAAGATTGAAGTGGGGACCGAGGGGGCTTTGAGTTTTATCTGTCAAATTCAATTTCTTGAGAAGGAAATCTGAAGAAAAAATGTTAAATTTGTTAAATCAGTGGTAAATACTCAGATGCTTGTTATAATGTACTCTGTAATTTTTTGGATCTTTCACACTTCTGAAGATTAAAGAAATAAACAGTGAAGGCTTTTTGAGCATTTTTGGAAAACATTTTAAAAATAATGAATTCTGCCATCATACATCATATGCATTTCTAAAAATCACAGTGCAATGCAAAATCATGCAGTAAAAACCACAGAGCTTATGGGAGAAATGGGGTTAGGTACACAACACTCAAAAAGTTTGTCAGTGACAAGTTAAAAAGAAAAGATAGAAACAATAAAAACAGCTCAGTTTTATGCATGTTAAATGATTAAGAAATAATTACCTTAAAAACAATCTGAAATTTGCCTGTGGAAGTGGATGTAAGAAGGGATGGAGCTTTTGAGTTATTGTGAAGTAGTGGAAGGGACATTATCTGAAATTAGATGGAAAGTTGTAACACCAGGTGTGAATAGGTAGGGCTCACGACAGGGTAATCTGAGGCAGCTGGTGCTTGAAGGGTATGCATGTGTGTGCTTTGTATATTCCTATTCAGTTCAGTTCTCATAGTAGCACCCAGAACTCTAAAATCCCTAGGAATGAATCTGTCAAGAATTATATAAGATCTATATGAAGAAAACAATAAATTTTACTAAAGAAAATTTAAAAATCTAGATAAATATATGTTTCTGGATGGGAAGATCCCATAATTTAGAGACCCACTTCTCTCAAAATTAATTCATATACTTAGTATATTCCTATCAGAATCCCAATAGAATTTATATAAATTTGAGAAAATTTTTCTCCTGTTTATTTAGAAGAGAAAATAGACAAGGAAGGTCAAGACAGTTTCCTTTAAAAAAATGATCAAGGTGGTGGTAGATGGCCATATCCTCTTAAATAGCAAATCATTTGATAAAACTATAAGAATTAAACAGTCCAGTATTGGAGCAAGAATAGACAAAACCAGCAGTGGAACAAAAATATAACCAAGTATAAATGGAAAACTAGTTTATGAAAAAGCGATCCCAACACAATGGTAAAAGAATCGTCAATAAGTTTTGTGACAATTTAATATCTCTTTGGAAAAAGAATTATGTGCCTTACTTTTATAATATACCAGAATATCTTTTATAATTTTAGAATAGGGAAAGTCTTCCAAATCAAGGTACTAAACCCTGAAGCCACAAAAGAGGTTCTAGTAAGTACAACACTATGAGATAAAAGCAGTGCACGTACTTTGAAAAGAGATGGGGAAATTATCTGAGAACTATGATTGTTTCCACCAAAAACTTAATACTATTAGAATTGATAAACAAATATGGTACATTAATTGGATATAAAATAAGTTTACAAAAATCAATTTTTTAAAAATACTAGTAGTAATGATTTGAAGTGGCAGAGGTGGTCCCATTTATAATTGTTGGGAAAACTACACAATACCAGAAATAAAGTTCATAAAAAAGATTCAGAACATTTATGAAGAAAATCATTAAGTTTATTAAAGGATAGGAAGCAAGATCAAATGAGTGGTAGAACATGTTCCTAGATGAGCTCAATCTTTCCTAAATACACATATAAATTTAATTAAAATTGAATCCCAATGTACCTTTTTTTTAAACTGGACAAAATTATTTTAGAATTTGTAAGGAAGAATGAATGTTCCAGAAATTAACAGCAGTAGCTTGACAAAGAATGGGCGTGGGGGGCACTTATAACATTGCATAGGTACTGTAATCAGATATGTATAGATAGTATAACAATATATAGATTCACATACATGTGAAAATCTAATATATGCAAAGGTGAAGGTCAGGATTTCAATCTAAGGAGAAAGAGTGGTGCATTTATTAGTGTTCTGTGATTGGCTGTCCATATGTACATAAGTAAAGATACCAATATCATCTTTAGAATTAAGCTGCAAATCTAATTGTGAAAAAAATTCAGTGGAATATTTGTATAATTTTTTGATTGTGACAAATACAAAAAATGAAAGTAAAAGCTGGAAACAATATGGAAAATACTCAGGTTTTAACTAAATAAAAAGGTCAAAATGTTCTCTTTGGCAGAAGAGAAAGTCAAAATACAAATGATAAACTAGAAGAAAATGTTTGTTAACTAGTCAAAGGATTATTAACCCTAATGTAAGAAAGTTAATTCAAATTATAGGAGCCCACTAAAACGTTGAGCAAAGGATGTGAACAGGCATGCACAAAGATAAGTGGAACCCCCCCTCCCCGCCAAATATGAAAATGTTGCTAAGCCTCACAAATGAATGCAAATTAAAATAATGAAGTACAGGGGACTTCCCTGGTGGTCCAGTGATTAAGACTCCGCGTTCCCTATGCAGGGGGCACAGGTTCAATCCCTGGTGGGGGAACTAAGATCCTGCATGGCTCACAGAGAAGCCTAAAAATAAATAAATAAATAAAACAATGAAATAGAATATTTTACCTATCATGTTGGCCAATAAACAAACAAATAAGGTTTCAGAACATCCTGTGCTGGCAAAGGTGTAAAGAAATGTCTCTTATTAGCAAGGGTAAAAGTGCTGGATTCTTTTTGGAAGGCAATCTAGTGGTATCTCGTAAACTGAAGATGTTTCTATCCTTTGATTTAGTAGTTCTCCTTTTTATTTAGCCTTTTCCTGCAGAAGTAAAACCACTAATATATAAGGAAGCATATCAGAGCATTGTTGGTAATTTATAAAGGAAATGGAAACAATATATGTGTCATCAGTGGAGTATGTGTACCCATGGAATATAATGCAATTAACAAAAAACCGATTTTGCCTATGTAAATTGACCTGGAAAGATGACATGTTAAGTGAAAGAAGTTACACAGTGATTTGTTCCCATTTTTGTTCAAAAAAAGAAGAAAAATGAAAGAGTTCCATGCTATACATATGCATATGTAGTTGGAACAGGCATAGAGAAACAGGTGGAAGGGGGTGGTCATGGTCACCAACAGAACCACATGATGGGAGTCAGGGAAGGAGCAGTTCCCAAGGAAGACGCTGCCTAATGGACAAAAACACTGTCCACTGCGAAACTCTTAAATTGATGAAAAGGAACTGGAGTTTTGAAGCCATTATGACTGCATGTGTATTATGCCTATAATTTCAGTTACCTCTGACTTTTGAGGATGTGGCCGTTTATTTCTCCGAGCAAGAATGGCGGGATCTAGAGCCATGGCAGAAGGAGCTTTACAAGCAAGTAATGAGAACCAATTATGAGATTCTTGTTTCTCTAGGTAAGAAGTGTTTAACTGTGGCTGAGGCATGGAACTGGGTCCTGTTAGGGATTTCAGTCACTCCATACTCCTGTTTGTCAGGTAGCCAGATTTCTCAGAAATTAAATCAGAAAGGCATTTTTATGCAGAGTCTTTTGTTAATATCTGTAAGCATTGCTAATCCTTACTCAAGGGTAGATGTTGCTACATGAGAATATTTGTGACAGCATGTAATGTAAGGTGGTCAGAGATGACTAAATATATGTCAGGGCTTTTAATCACTATATACTTACAGGTTGCCATGATTTTTCAACCTGGATACATACCTTGCCTATATCCATAAAGTACCCTGTATATCTTTAACCTAGGATGTTCCTACCTGTCAACTTTTACAGTGGTGTCCATATACCTCAAAAAAGCTAATGTTATTTTCCCCTGCAATGAGATTTTGGAAGGCTATACATAGGTGTTTACCCGCAGTTGTTTCTGCATGGTTACGGTAATGGTGTTCTTTTTAGTCTTTTTGCTTACTTAGTCTTTGTATTTTACTATTAAATATGGTTTTTAAAAAATCAGTCTGTTTGGAGAAGCATCAAAATGAATGATAAGTCTCTTGCCTCACCCCTCACTCAGTTAATTCCCCAAAGGCAACCATGTTAATCATTTCTGTTTTAGTTTTTACTGCAGTTTACTACAGTCTATTGTGCTTACACCTGTATTTCTTGGTTATTGAGTTTAACTCCTTACTGTGAAAAATGAGGGTTTCACTTACTTATACTATCCCTCTTCTATCTCCTTTTTCCCCCTTCTTCTGAAATTTTGATAGTTTTTTTAAATTTTTTTAACTTTAAAAAAAAATTTTATTATCTATGTTACAAATATTTCTTTCCAATTTGTTCCATACACACACACACACACACACACACACACACACATATTTGTTGTTGTTTTATCTTTTGGCCACTGCGTGACTTGTGAGATCGCAGTTCCCCAACCAGGGATCAAACCCATGCCCCCTGCATTGGCAGTGTGGAGTCTTAACCACTGGACTGCCAGGGAAGCCCCTGATAGTTTTTTAATGCCTCTGTTGGCCACCTTTATAATTTAAATAATAAACTTCTAGATCATGTTTCATGAACTTTACATTATATCTCTTTATCTTTCAGTCTACGAAGGTAATTAGTTCTCCTATATTCCCTCCACTTCTCTTGCCAGCGTCTGACATAATTAAGATTTCCAGTTTCTATACAGTGTTTCTGAAACATTAATACAAGATATTACATTATTTTCATTGTTAGTGAAGAACCAATTAAAGTAATTGAATCAATAGAGAAAAGAAAAATAATCTTGTGGCATGAACCCTGTGTCACCCAAAAAGAATGTTCCAAGCATCAAGATCAAATGGATGTGGACTTCTATGGTGGTGCAGTGGTTAAGATTCCGCCTGCCAGTGCAGGGGCCATGGGTTTGATCCCTGGTCTGGGAAGATCCCATATGTCGTGGAGCAACTAAGCCCGTGCTTCACAACTACTGAGCCTGCGCTCTAGAGCCCACGAGCCATGACTACTGAAGCCCATGCTCCTAGAGCCTGTGCTCCACAACAAGAGAAGCCACTGCAATGAGAAGCCCACACACCACAGTGAAGAGTAGCCCCTGCTCAACACAACTAGAGAAAGCCCACGCGCAGCAATGAAGAAACAACAAAAGATCAAATGGATGTGAAGTGGTGTATCAATGTGGGTTTGTTTTGCATTTCCTTAATGGTTAATCATGTTGAGCATCTTTTCATTTGTGTATCTTCTTTGAAGAAATGTCTATTCAAATACTTTGCCCATTTTTATAGTGGGCTATTTGTCTTTTTATTGTTGGGTTATAAGTGTTCTCTATTTGTTCTGAATACTGAACCCTTATCAGATATATGATTTGCAGATATTTTCTCCGTTTCTTGGGTTACCTGTTCCCTTTTTTTTTTTTTTGTGGTACACGGGCCTCTCACTGCTGTGGCCTCTCCCGTTGCGGAGCACAGGCTCCGAACGCGGAGGCTCAGTGGCCATGGCTCACGGGCCCAGCCACTCCGCGGCATGTGGGATCCTCCTGGACCAGGGCACGAACCCATGTCCTCTGCATCTGCAGGCGGACTCTCAACCACTGCGCCACCAGCGAAGCCCCCTGTTCCCTTTTTGATGGAGTCCTTTGAAGCACAAAAGTTTTAAGTTTTGATGAATTCCCGTTTATTTTTTCTTTTGTTGCTTGAGCTTTTGGTGTCATATCTAAGAAGCCATTGCCTAATTCAGTGTCACAAAGATCCACTCCTATGTTTTCTTCTAAGAGTTTTATAGTTTTAGTGCGTATATTTAGGTCTTTGATCCTTTTTTTTCCTTCTTTGATCCATTGTGAGTTAATTTTTTCACACTGTGTGATATAGGGATCCAGCCTCTTGCATATGGATATCCAGTTGTCCCTACACCATTTGTTGAAAAGACTATTCTTTCCCCCATTGAATTATCTTGGCACCCTTTTGGAAAACCAATTAACAGTAAATGTCAGAGTTTATTTCTGGATTCTCAAGTCCGTTTCATGGATCTATATATGTCTAGTCTTATGCCAGTACCACACTGTTTTAATTACCATTGCTTTAGGATCAGTTTGTCAATTTCTGCCAAAAAAAAAAAAAAAGGCAGATGGGGTTTGGGGAATATGGTCATCTTAACAGTACTAAGTCTTCCAATTCATGAACATGGGATATCATTTCATTTATTTAGTACTTTTTTTTTTAGGACTTTTAAAATTACTTTGAACAACATTTTATGATTTGTATTGTGTAAGTCTTATGTTTCTTTTATTAAATTTTTTCCTAAGTATTTTACTCTTTTTGATGTTCTTGTAAATGGACTTGCTTTCTTAATTTTTTTTTGAAAAATTGTTTTATTTTAAAAGATGCTGAGAGTTCAACCCAGATGAAGACTGAGAATAGGTGTATGGATTTATTTTTTTAATTAATTTTTATTGGAGTATAGTTGCTTTGCAATGTTGTGTTAGTTTCTGCTGTACAGCAAAGTGAATCAGTTATACGTATACATATATCCCCTCTTTTTTAGATTTCCTTCCCATTTAGGTCACCACAGAGCACTGAGTAGAGTTCCCTGTGTTATACAGTAGGTTCTCATTAGTTATCTATTTTATATATAGTAGTGTA